CCTGTTTTTTTACTATCCACCTTTCCACTGCCACCCTTAATTGCAGCTCATCACTTCCCACGCTTACCTTAGCTCTTCGTCAGTACATTATGTCATAATACCCTAAACCCTCAACCCTAACTCAAGGTCCAACCCAGCCAATCGGGGTTCCTCAAGCCCTAAGTCTTTTTCCATACCACCCAGCTGGGTCCTTTCACGCTATGCGGTTCACATGCTCGCTGTGTTACCTGTCTTCACTTCAATTACTCCTCCATTCGCCTCCGACCTTAAATTCTCTTCAGTCAGATTGCCTCTACCCATCCTACTCTGACCCTTTGTTTACCTGACTCAGCCCGCCTATTCTCTTCTCTCCTCTCCGTTGTTTCCCCCAGTACGCCTCCAGTCTCTTAGCCCAGACCTGTTTCAACTCAGCTGTCTGTCTGTTGCAGTTCGGGTTGGGTTTTCCTGCTTGTCTCTGAATTATGCCATTCTTTCCAGTAGATCCGGTCGTTGCGTAACTCAGCCACCTTTCCATCCACTAACCACAACGCGATGAATTTTTCCCTGGCCTTTTGTCGCTGACTTTCGTCTTCCGATATCGACTGTTGTAGCTTTTGCCATTTGCAGAGGATTTCAGCTTGCAGCAGTGTTCTCGTCTCCACCCATACCTTGTCTCTTGGGTTGGACAACCCTTCGATGGTTCTGCAGTATCTCTCTTTCCAGATGATCCATAGTGTCACCTTCCTGATGAGGCCGAACCACAGCCTTTCTGTCTTCTTGAGCTGGTCGGGAATGTCAGTCCAGAGGAGAAGTTGGATAGGTAGTTCAGGGGAGGGGGTCTGAAAGAGGGAGTCCCAGAGTGCTGAAGCTCGTGCCCAGTACTCTGTTGCTTCTTTTCAATAAATAAGACAGTGAATCACGTCCTCTTGCACTTGTTCAGAACAGACTGAACATAGGTCTGAACTAGTAGGGTCGTTTTTGTGGCGTCGTATGTGGAGCCATCGGTTTACTGGCAGCGCAGCGTATGTAATCAGCCACTGTAGGCTTCTGATTTTGATCGGTCTGATGGTCTTGATTTTTTTCCACGGAATCTGTGTGAGTCTGTCAGCGTCAGGACCTAGGAGTTTCTGCCATCTGGCCTTGATCATGGGATCTGGATTTTTTGTTTTGACCAGGAGTTTGTATCCAAATTTGACTGTATAATTTTGTATGGTGATATGACCCTTGATATTTCTATCCTTGTCCGGTGCCCATTCCCATTCCGCCGGGTCAAATTCCAGATTCTGTAACGCTGTATCTGATCTGAAAATTTGTTTGGGCCACAAGCCTAGTACTCTTACTTTCCTAAGTAGGAAGAATTCCATGACTATCGTTTCCACTTCTTGATTTAGTATAGATGGCATGCCCTGGCTTGACGGGGAGATTGGGAAGGAGGAGAAGACTGCTTTGGTGGCTGAGCCCGGTTGCATGTGCGAGAATTGGAAGGCTCGCGATGGATAACTCTCTTGCACTTTAACTCCCCATTCTCCAACCTTCCATGGCGCCGCTTCATTCAAGATGTCTTTCCAGGCTTGAGGAACACAGTTGATGATGTGCTGGAGATTGAGCCCTCGTCTGTGACAGCCCTTTGAAAGATTGCTTAATTCCTCACTGTTTACTTTCTTCGTTCCATAGGTGGCTTACTTTCCATATCCCATTCTTGACCCATGACAGCCATTTGTGGTCTAGGTATAAGGGATTATCACTTTCGTCTTTCACCCAGTCGTTTTCCGAACAGCGGTTGTCTTAGCACCTCATCTTTGGACACTGGTCTATTGGTCTTTTTCGGGAATATTTCTCTCCATATCCGAATCAGGGCCGACCAGTATGGGGTAAGGTGTCTGGCTGTGTCCGAGTCTATTCCCCTTCTTGGTCTTCTCCCACCTGTTCTCAAGTTCCATTCCTTGTTCATGATCCAGAATAGGCCCGCCATGTTTTCTGGTGAGGCTACTGGAGCCAGTGCCCTGATGCTGTCTAACACCAATTTATTCCATGCACTTTCCGGCCTCAACAAGAGTTTGACTATCCACTTCACTTGTAGGGCTTTTGTTTCATATCTATAATCCCTAGGCCCCCCTGTAACGGTTTCCTAATAATGTATTGCCATGCAATTTTCGGGATAGACCCCTTTTTATTGGGATTACCTGTCCATAAATAGGTCCTTGCTATGCGGTTGAGTTCCCTCATTGAGTTATCTGGTATTGTCCATATGGAAGCTATGTACCACATCATGGAGAACACCGATGTGTTGAGTACCAAAGCTCGACTGATTAGTGAGGCGAATGTGTTCCCCCATCTCCCTAGCTTGTTTATCTGTTTGTTAACATGTTTTGGGCCATCCAGGGCGCCAGCCCGTCCCTTGTCATGAGTATACCCAGGTAGCGGGTGGGGGTATCTGGCGTATCCCACGTCATGGCGGCCTCCGGCCCTTGTAGGTGAGGAAGATCCTCCTCTGAAAGCCACCATCCGATTGTCTTCCTCCAGTTGACCCTCATCTCTGATGCTAATCTAAAGGCTTCCATTGCTTCAGCCAAGGTCTTAAACAAGGAGTCAGAGGCTCTTATCAGTACTGTAAGGTCGTCTGCAAACATGATCGCAGTCGGAAACTTTATGTGGTGAGCCGATCCAGCGTTGACTTCTGGGAGCCTGTGAATAGAGGGGTCCTTTCATAGGAAAGACGCTATGGCTTCCATTACAAAAAGGAATATTGAGGGAGCGAGTGGGTCCCCTTGTTGGACCGAGCGGGAAATTGGGTAGCTTTCCGATAGGAATCCATTCACTTGTACACAGCCTGTGGCATCATTGTACAAAACTCGTACCCACTTCCCAAAGTTGGGTCCCACGCCCATTCGTTCCATGCTCTCATCCATGAAGGACCAGTTTACTTGGTCGTATGTTTTTTCAAAGTCAAAGAATAGTATTGCTGCATTTATCTTCTTTTGTCGGACTTTGTTCACTGCCTCATTTAGGGTCATTACATTATCCAATATGTACCGCCCTGGGATGAACCCTGTTTGGTCGATGTGAAAGCATTTGTCCGTTAATTTCGTAATTCTGGCGGCGAGAGTTTTAGCTAGAATTTTGTAGGGGAGGGTTAGTAACGAGATTGGTCTGTAGTTCCTGATGTCCTCTTTGTCCCCCTTTTTGTATAGCCGTGTAACTACACTGCTACTCAAGAGATTGCCCAGACCCCCTTTGTCCCAGTTGTCCTTGTAGAAGTTCATTAAGTCTCCTCCTAAGAGTGACCATAATTTCTCCCATAATTCCTTGGTTAACCTGTCGATCCCAGGAGATTTATCATTATTTATGCTCTTGAGTGCTTGGAAGAGTTCATCCCTTGTTAATGGCTTGTCTGAAGCTTCCGCTTGCTCAGTTGTTATTGTCTTGTCCAGATATTGCAGCATTCTTTGTCTTGCCTCCTTTATGGTAGGCGAGACAGGCGTTTGAGTTTTAGTCTCATACAATTCTCGATAAAATTCCTTTGCTATTCCCAACACTCCCTCACTGGTTGTCACAATCTCCTCGGGATTGCTGAGAGTTTTCAGCCTTTCTATCGTAGTTGCCCTTGAGTTAGCCTTGATGCGGGCAAAACAGTGTTTCGACATTGACTCACTAAGTTCGTATTCGTTCATTCTGGCTCTTATTTGTAGTCCTTTTAGGTCCCACCACCTCCACAAGGCCAACTCTTCTCTTGGTTTCTCAAAGATTTTAGTGTACAGTAGTGATGATGGGTTAAGACTCAGGTTGGACTCAACGATTTTTAACGTCGATTCCAGATTCTGCCTCCTCTGTTTTCTTATGCCTGCTAGCTTTCTTGAGATTTTTGCAGTTGAAGTCGATAAAGAGGAGTAGCTCTCTTGAAACCATTCCCATCGATCGCGGTCGGGCAGGCGGCTATTTTTTTGTTCCTGCCAGCAGAGCCGCACTCCTTCCTGGAAAGTCTGGCTTAACAGGAGGGAGTTATTTAATTTGTGGAAACTGGCTCCTTTACTCACTAACTGTTCAAAACTGATCGTTAGCTCAATCGGCTTGTGGTCCAGGCCTGGGTATGGTGCTAGAGGTAGAACATCTGCACTCTTGATTGCCCCATCAATATCTCAGACACCAAGAAGTAATCAATACGTGAGAAGGCCGTGTGGTGGGCATGGTTCTTTTTAACTAGTGAGAAGGCTGTCGAAGTGGGATGCATGGTTTTGAAGGGTTCTATCGGGCTGTGGTATATCATCAATTTCTGGATCGGTAGTGCCTCTTGAGGGTTGTATGCGTTGGAAGATCGTGATATACGGTCTGTTGAAGGATCGAGAGTGGCATTCCACTCACCGGCCACTATACACTGTGCAAGTGGTGGGAGTCTGTTTCCCAATTCTGTCACGAAGGAGGCTCTCTCCGTTGAGTTGCTTGGGGCGTAGATGTTGAACAAAGTGAATTCTTCTTCTTTCCATTTGAACTGCATAGAGCACCACCTTCCCTCATTGGTGCCTGCCTGTTTGTCTAAAACACTTCCTTGTAAATATACTCGTGAGGAGTTGGGGATCAGGATAGTTGTGCCTTTCGTGCTTGAGGCGTTGTCAACCGCCCATATTTCATCCTTAACCCCTCCCAACTTCCTTGCCAACAACTTTCTGATCCTGTTATGTTCCAGCGAGAACGTGAGATGAGTTTCTTGCAGCAGTATTATGTCTGCTAGTTTCTTGTTGTGCACCGTTAGTCCTTTGATTATGTCATTCAATTTGTCTTCCTTGTCTATGATATTACCCAACCCATTTATGTTCCAGCATCGAATGACAATCCCTTGATTCTTCCAGTCTCTCCGGTGCCCCCTTACATTAGCCGCTCTCCTGAATTCCTCCATCGTTGAGTTCTCGACCGACTAACCATTGCTATCATCCTCCAAGGGTTATACCTAAGACGGTTCGCTTTTGCTCATATCCACCGCCATCGAATCATCCCCCTTGTCGGATCCTCCCGACGCCCGTCCTAACCTTATCGTTATGTCCCTATCCGTTTTGGCGATCTTGTGCAGATCATCGCCGTCACTGTTGCTAATGTCTAATCCTTCCCCTTGGTCCTCCTCTTCCTTCTCATCGTCCGATTGCCAATCTAGCGCATCGTCATCCGATCCGTCACTTCTGTAAAACCTCTCCCAGTCCATCGGGTATGCTCTCACTTCCAGGTCCCCATCTCCTTCTACCATCCCTGTATTGACCAACTGAGCCATCGAGACTGTTGTCAATTCCGCAGGTAGGATCGGCCCCGCCAGAACACTGTACGGTACCGCTGTGACCGTCCTCCAGGGCCTCCATTTCATTCATGTTCTGAGTTTTGCCATTTTTTATAGTTTCGCGATCGGTGGTGAGAAGGCCTGAGGTGAGTGACTTCCTTGCTCCGAGTGTTGTGATGTTGGGCCCTCCTGTTCTGAGAGGGAGTGTGTGTCCTCCTGATCAAAGTTGCTTGGCACAATGTCGTACATCCCCAGCGGGAACTCTGTAGTTATCTTTTCGCGAAGGGTAACTGCCACGTTTTGCCCTTCTTCAAAGCATGGGATCTGAAAGGATACATCTGTTGCAATCTGCCACTCCTCAATCTTTTCCATATATCTTGCAACGATCAGTGGGCGAATGTTCATCAACGTTAGTCTTGACGACTTGGCAGTCTCCACCACCAGTGGTGCCTGACCCCCAGCTATGTGTGAGATCGTCGTGAACTTTGGTGCATATTCTTCATTCAATTTCTTAAGTTTGTCTGTTTGTGCAATTACCATATTTGCTTCTTTTTCCAATTGTGTACTTGTTGAGTCTTCCTCGGGTTCCAGTTGTGCCACATCCGGGTCTTTCTTTTTCTGATTTTTTCCGGACTTCCACTTCTTTGGACGCAGGTCTTGGAACTCATCCTTGGATTCTGGGACTGTTCTATCTCTGTCCTTCACTCCTTGTTCCCTTGCTCTTTTTTTTTCAGCGTATCTAAACGCTGTGTATTCTGATAATTCTTCCACCTTGACCTTCCTGAGTATGTCAAATTGGTTATTGGACTTCCCTGATTCCCCCATCCCTTTCTTGTTGTTCTTCTGAGATCTTTCAGCGTGTTTCAGACATGCTGCCCGAATGTCAAAGGCGTGCCCTCTCTCCCTTTTTACCTACTCCACATATTCTTTGAGCCACTGCATCAATCTGTGAGAATCCCCTTCGTTGTCAGTCGTTGCGCTACCCCCATCACCTTTACCCCCCTCTGATGTCTTCTCGGACCCTGTCCCCTTCGAGTTTGTTTTCCTCTCTTCTTCCTCCCTCTCTGTGGAGGTGCTAATCACGCCATCTTTCCCTTCTGCACTCGTCGCTTTCCGCCTCTTTGGGCCTCCCTCTTGGTTTCCTTGTCCCTTTCCATTCTCTAGCATTCGTTTGTTCTCTGTTGGATTCCCTGCTTTTGTTCGGGCACTTGTTTGTTCCATATTTTTCAGCATGCATCTGAAATTCGTCGAGTCCTTGTGAATTCCGATACTGTTTGTTCTCTTACAGCTTCCAGATCCCACAACAAATCTTCTTTGTATTTCTCTTCCTTGATCACCCGCGAGTCAATTAGTGGATCAGTATTGATCCTCGACGGGTTACCTGATACTTTCCCTGTGGCTTTTTTCTGCCATCTGCTGTCAGCCGGGGGGAAGATATTTGGTTTCTTGACTGCAGGCTCTTGATCGGCATAATGCCAGACCCAGTCTGGTTCCTCCAAGTTGTCGTAAAAGACCCACCCGTTGTAATTGTTGTCCGCAATGAACCAGATTCTTGGGGCTTCCTCCACTTCGACGAACATATTGGGGAGGAGTTTGCGTTCCTTTGGTTGGTTCGAGTATTTGGGGCAGTTCGGGTTTGTCCCCATATGTCCCCTCTCCCTGCACCGAAAGCAGATCGGGGAGGATTTGGTTGACACTTTGACATCGATTGTTCTGCTTTCGATCTGCAATTTCCAAGTGTGTGGGAAGACCGGGGAGTTATCTGTCTTCACTTCCAGCACCGCTGTCATTGAACCGCATTGCGGGGCCAAAAAATCGGGTGTAGGGAGGATCCATTTGAGGATCATGTTCGCAGGGTATTGCCTTTCCAATCTGTCCACCAGCAAGCCGTGGAACCCCGGTTGGATGTTGTCGAACTGTACCCAAAAGTTTTCCTTAAGCAGTGTCTGTTTGTAAGACACCGCAAATACCGGGTTCTGTCTCTGAGCGGCCATTTTTTTCCATTTAGCGATCGTGCATACCGAACCGTGGCAATTCCTGGACTACAAATCCACCGCCGCTTTTGCGTGTTCCTCCCATACAAAGAGTGTCATTATGTTGTTTCGACTTAGAATCTGTAATGTGAAAGTCTCCCCCGAATGTTTGAGTTTAAGTTCTTTCTTGATTGTATCTATGATCCATTTTCTTTTCTCAGGTGGCTGGAGCTCTGCTCCATTGCGTGCAAAGTTGAACACTACACCATGCCTCTCATACAAATCATCCAACTTTGCCACTCTCTCTTCCGGGTATTTCCACATAATAATCTCCTTTTCTTTGCCATCTACTTTTTGGGTCTCTGTGGTTTGCACACCTTGCGCTTTTGTTTTCTCTATCAGGAATTTCAGAGCTTCACTATCAATGGCACTGATGCATTTTTCCCCGGAACCTTGACTGAGCGTACCCATGGTTGGAGGTGTGGATGCCATTCTCTTGGCTACCACAACCAATCCTGAATTGGTTTTTGTCCCATATCCTGTTTGTACGCCCTTGGTCTGTGTGCTGCAATCGACTTGAAACTGGTAACGGGGGATACAAGATTAACTGACCCCCCAGTTTTCACACCCATTTATAAGAAAACCAAAGGGCCATTTTAACCATACTTCACACCAATCTGTAGAGTGCACTTCTTACTAACTTATTGTAAAAAAAAAAACGAAAACAAAAAATTAAAAACATATAAAACAGCAAGCCAAAAGTGCACTTTCATGAAATTTCACCAACATTTCAATTTGTCGATTTTCACGATGGATTCCGCAGGTCCTGGATGGTGGGTTGTGATCACACTAACTATTGGAGACTTAGCAAGGTTGATAGGTGTGAGATCTCGGCGAGGGTAGTTGGGGAAGGACAAGTGCGAGTGCCTAGGGGAGGGAGGAGGGGGGAAGGGGGGGAAGTGGGGCGAATGTAGGGAGCAGTTCTTCAATAGGGAGGATGGACGGGGGGGGAGTGATTGCGGAATTACACCGGCTTACAAAGGAGAAGACAGGACGGAGTTGATACCGTGGATGAGTAGGACTAAAGATTAATGGAGAGGGGTGGGAGGGATAGTGTATGTGGTCTGGGAGCATCCAAGGGGCATGGCAGTCATACGGTGGGTTGATGGTGCGGGAGGGATGGACTGGGGGGTGGCTAAAGATGAATGGCCGGATGTGCACTAACTGTCTAGGTAGTTATTGGTGTGAATGGGGGGGGTGAGGGAGCGGATGGATACAATTCGGATGGGGTAAGAGGATTGCGGGATGGGATCAAGAGTTCCGACCAAAGGGTGTAGGTGATGGCAGGAAGGGGAAAAGGAGTAGGTGGATAGGTGCAGGGATGGAAGGGTGGATGGATCCAGGTTGAGTGTGGGACTGGGTGGATCAGATTTGGGTAGGGGGTTGGTTGGATCAGCTTTGGATGGAGGATTGGATCAGATTGTCGGATTGGGTGAGAGAGGTAAGACTGGTTTGGATGGCGGGTTGGGTGAATCGGATCTGGGTGGGGGGTTGGATGGGTCGGATCTGATCTGGATGGAAGGGTGGATCGGAATTGAAAAGAGATTTGGGTGTATCTAATTTGTATGAATCGGCTAAGGAAGAATCTGATTGGATGGCTTGAGTGGATCGGATTGGATAGTGCGGATTGGGTGAAGCTGACTGGGAGGATCGGATTGGTTGAAGAGGGTCAGGTGAATCGAGTTGGGTGGAAGGGATATGGATGGAGGATCGGGTGACGCGAATGAGGGTGGAGGGTTAGGTGTGCCGGGTGCGGGTTTGAATGGGAAGGTGGGAGTATCGGATTGCATCGAGTTTGGGTGGAGTGAAGGATGAATCGAGTTTGAGTGGAGGATCGGGTGGAATGGGTTTGGACGGGGGATTGAGTGGATCGTGTTTTGTTGGAGGGTCGGGAAGATCGGACTTTGTCGGGGGGGGTGGGTAGATTGGATTTGGATGAAAGCTTGGGTGGATCGGGTTCAGTGGATCGGATTGGTTCAAGAGGATCGGGTGAGTCAGGTTGGGTGGAAGGAATATGGATGGAGGATCGGGTGACGTGGATGAAGGTGGAGGGTTAGGTGTGTCGGGTGTGGGTTTGAATGGAAAAGTGGCTGTATCGGGTTGGGTATATTGGGTTTGGATGGAGAGAAGGATGAATCGGGTTTGAGTTTGAGTGGAGGATCGGGTGGAATGGATTTGGACTGGGGATTGAGTGGATCGTGTTTTGATGGAGGGTCGGGAAGATCGGATTTGGCCGGGGGGGTTGGGTAAATTGGATTTGGATGAAAGCTTGGGTAGAGCGGATTGGGATGGGGGAAATGGGTAGATCGGGTTTGGATGTAAGATCGGGTGGATCAGCGATTGGCTGGGAGACGGGATGGATCGGTTTGTAAATCGGTTTGTGAATGAGTGAACTTGGGTGAAAGAGTGTGTGTGAAAGTGTGTGTGGATAGGGGGGGTTGAAACGCTCAGGCGGGCACTCTTAGTAGGTCTGAGAGATAACCGAAGATCTGTGTCGATAGGGTGAAGAAGAAGGGGTTGTATGGGGGAGGGAGTTAGTAAGGAGTGGTAGGTCAGATCTCACTAGCTTGATAGGTTGTAGACTGTTCAACTCTTCGCTGAAATCTCACGTGATGGTAGAATCGGTTTGCGTTGAGCCTTCTTTCAATACCGCGTTGTCGCTTGTGAAGGCAAACTCTCCCTTTTTGATGTCTTGAGGAAACTTGGCTTGGAGCTTCGTCGAATCTGTATGTTACGTCTTGTAGCTGTGTCATGAATCGATCTTCTCACACCCTTGATCGAGAGGGGCGATGGGGCCCAAGCGCGCAGAACACGCTCGGAGGCTTCGTGAGTGTTCGTTTCCCTCCGTTCGTGCGTTCCAAAATGCTCCCTATGACGAATCAGTTTGCTAATGTATCCCCTTCGACTCTTCCCCTCACCTTCTGTATGCGACCTTCGATGGCAGATACCAATCACCTTCGTTGCTCCAATTCCTTAGTCGCCTTCTAAACGTTTCTTCTACCTCTTTTCTCCTCCCTCCCTCTTGTCAAGACTAGCTCACAGGCGTATCCACCAATTATTGCAGGTTGGCCACGCCCGTAGGTGTGGCATACGAGGAAGGAATGTTTGTCGCCCTCTGAGCGATGGTGGTGGTCGAGGTTGTTGTCCTAGCGGGATGGTTGCGGATGTCGCTAACGAAGGCTCAGGAACGCGGACGTTACGGCGCGCAGATGCGATGGCGCCGGACCCGCGGATGCAATGGAGCTAGGTACTAAGACGCGATGGCGCTGAGAGCGCGGGCGCGATGGCGCTGACCGAGCGGCGCGGGCGCTGTTCCTCAGCTGTTCCTGAGCCCTGGTCCTCGACATTCAGTTCTTCACACATATCTCTACATCATTCAACTTGATATTGCACACATTAACTTCCTCGGAGAGAAATTACCGAGATTAGTGAGCGTGCATTCTTTCTTCTTTCCGTTGTTACGACTATCGTTACGATTATCTTTGCACTGACCAAGTACGAAGGTTTTGGAGGATGGGTGAGTACTGTGTTCGCGTTAATAATGCCGACTGTATGTTGAGTTCTTCACACATATCTCTATATCATTCAACTTGATATTGCACACGTTAACTTCCTCGGAGAGAAATTACTGAGATTAGTGAGCGTGCATTCTTTCTTCTTTCCGTTGTTACGACTATCGTATCAATTATCTTTGCACTGACCAAGTACGAAGGTTTTGGAAGATGGGTGAGTACTGTGTTCACGTTAATAACACCGACTGTATGTTGAGTTCTTCTCACATATCTCTATATCATTCAACTTGATATTGCACACGTTAACTTCCTCGGAGAGAAATTACCGAGATTAGTGAGCGTGGATTCTTTCTTCTTTCCGTTGTTACGACTATCGTTACGATTATCTTTGCACTGACCAAGTATAAAGGTTTTGGAAGATGGGTGAAACTGTGTTCGCGTTAATAACGCCGACTGTATGTTGAGTTCTTCTCACATACCACTATATTATTCAACTTCAACTGACTGGATGTCCATTCTGGAAAGCGTCAGTGCAATCCTTCTCCACCGGCAAGTCAAAAACAGATAAGATACATGAATTACGCACTCACCCTGAACGACACTGATTACGACTCCTTCAAGAGGATTGCCTAGCAGAAAAATGACAAGAGGCATTTTCCTTCTAGGGGGATTCCTCTCAGCCCCTGTAAAGTAGAGACTGTTAGATTACCTTGAATGCAATCGGACTTGTCTTTCTTGACACTCAACATGCGTACAAACAGATGACGGTCAAGCTGGCGACTTGCACCCACACAAAGCTCAGAGATAACGAAGCCACAAATGCAGTTCAGATTCAAACTTGTCTTGATCGGCTATGGCCGATCCCTGTACTCTTAGCAACTTGTTCGTTCACACACCCTGGATCTCCCTCGATGTCCCGCACTCTCTCACACACACACTAACACGCACTTGTACACTCACACTAACATCTACGGACTCTCTAACATGGCGGCTATGGCCGCCATCTTAGCCCACTTCTCCTTCGGGCACCTGCAGACCTTTGTACACAAGACGCTCCGACAGCGCTTCGGCACAGCTCACAGGCAAAATGAATGAATGGCTTGACGCTGCATCTTTATTTACTTTGGATTGTCAAAGGTCTGCCCTTGGACCCTGGGCCCGGGGTGTACAGAGTCCCACATGGTACTTGCTGACTTGACAAAGTGCGACCGGGACAGGGTACCGCTGACTGGGCTGAGTTAGACTGCCCACTTGCCCACTTGCCTACGGGCGGCTAACTAGGACTCACGAAGGGGCAGAGTAGACTGTTCCGGAGGGGCCTAGTCTAGCCTATGAGACCTTTCGTTATTGTAGCAGCTACGACCTATATTGACGTCTCGGTACTGTAGCAGCTACGACCTCTACCACTGCTAAGACTGCAAATCTACGGACCTACTGTTCAAGACCCAACGACCACCCCACCTACAACAAACAAGCAGGCGACTTTCAAGACACAGGTCGCGGGTTCAAGCACACACGGGTCAACTGGTACTGTACACGGGTAAGGGCGAGGCCTGGGGATCAAGCCCTGGGAACTCCACCTGCTACCGCAAAGGTGAAAACCGTTGCACTCCCGCCGGCTTAAATTCGAGGTCTTCCGAAGATAATTCAATCTATAACAGGACCTTTGCCTTTCTTAGATCTCTCGTAGGCACGAACTATGTTGGGAGCCCTTTCTAGAAGTTCTGTTCGCGTAAAGCAGCGATCGTCCTCGGGTTCTTGGTAGGCAAATCTGACTTTATACTGTTTTTGTGGACGACCTCTACCTCCCGTCCTGAATACATCCTCATCTACTATGCCGTCAATGCCGTACCTTCCGTCCATATCCAGAGGGATCATGGATCTTCTCGATGGGAACTGTTGTTCGCGTAAAGCAGCGATCGTCCTCGGGTTCTTGGTAGGCAAATCTGACTTTATACTGTTTTTGTGGACGACCTCTACCTCCTGTCTTGAATACATCCTCATCTACTATGCCGTCAATGTCGCACCTTCCGTCCATATCCGGAGGGATCATGGATCTTCTCGATGGGAACTGCTGGCTCGTAATGCAAGGCAACAACTTTGACGCATGGAAAACTGCATAGGTGTGGAGGTGTGCTGGAATGTCTATTTTGTAGGACAGTCCGTCGTCTCCGCCTTTGACTTCTAGAACTGGCCACGGTCCTCTATACGCAGACAACAGTTTCTGCGAGATGTTCTCCTCATGAGTAAACTCTTTAGACTTGACCCAGACAAAGTCGCCTACTTGGAACTGTGACGGGTGACGATGCTTGTTAGCTTGCTCTATCATTCCGTGTTGGGCCTTCTTGAGGTTTTCTATCACTTTGGCAACTTCCTTCTCGTGCTGTAGCGCGAACTCCATAGTACCAGTCGGTAGCCTCTGAATCTGGTTTCGGTTCAGTCCCTCAAACGGTATGTGGGGTCTAAAGGACTTGTGTAACTCGTTGGGAGTGCGACAAGTGGCTAGATGAAGGTTGTTATTGTAAGCACTAACTACCGTTGGGAGCATCTCGTCCCAGTTGACTTGATCTGGTCAAATGTACATTCTAAGAACTTGTTGCAAAATCTTGTTCATCTGTTCAGTTTGACCGTTAGTCTTTGGATGGCGGCCAGACGACATCAACAACTTAGAACCATATACTTTCATAAGTTCCTGCCAGTTCTGACTAGTGAACCTGGTGTCTCTGTCACTGACTATCGACAACGGTAGACCATGCTCACTGACCCAATGATCAAAGAATCTCTCTATAACTAGATCAGTACATGCCTCAGCGGGCAAAGGGACAAAAACTGCATACTTGCTAAATCGATCAACTACAACCATGACTTGGCTCTTGCCATGCCTACTGTTGACCCCGACATCCATGAAGTCAATGGACACCAAGTCTCCGGGTCCTGATGGGATAGGTAAGGGTCTGAGACGACCCAATGAGGTTCACGTCATAGTTTTATTGGGCTGGCATACATTGCAACTACGCACATACTCTATGCAGTCCACTTTCATGCCAGGCCACATGTAGGCACATATTAGGTCGGCTAATGTCTTTTGCCGGTCGAAGTGCCCTTCTGTGTCGTGACATTCCCCTAAGATTAGACTGCAGCTCTCTTCGCTGTTGGGAATGCATAGCCGATCTACGACATCTGTCTTCTCAAACAATAACCCATTAGTGGTGCGGTAGTTAGGCTCATTGGCTGGGTCCTCCTTGACTCTCCTGAGGAGGTCACTATAGATAGGGTCCTTCGCATACGCGTCTACCACTTTTTGCTGTAAGTCTGACCCTATATCCAGATAGTGAAGTATAGCTCCAAAGTAGTCGGCCCTCCTACTAAGGGCGTCTGCAACCACATTATACTTCCTTTTGATTGGCTTGAGCTCGAAGTCAAACTGATCTATCTTTGCGGTCCACCTAGTGAGCATAGGTGTCATCTTGGCCTGCGTCTTCAGCCACCTCAATGTCTCGTGGTATGAATAGACTTTGAAGTGCCTTCCAAGCAAGTAGTGTCTCCATTGGTCTAATGCTTGCCTGAGAGCGTAGAGTTCCCTCTCATAGGTGGATGTCGCTACGTTCTCTGAAGGCACCTAGCGGACATGAACTCCATGGGTCTATACCCATTGCCATCATCCTGCTGTAAGATAGCACCAATGCTATACTGACTTGCATCAGTGGTAACAACAAAAGGTAAAGATGGGTCAGCTACCTTGAGGACTGGGTACTCTATCAAGGCCCGCTTCAACTTCTTCAGGGCCGATGGAAAGTCTTGGTCCCACTTCCAGATTGCCACTTTCTTTAGCAATCTGCGAAGGGGAGCAGCGATTGCATAGAAGTTTCTCACGAACTTCCTATAATAATAGCCAATCCTAAGAATGACCTCAATTTTGTGGCCCAAGTACAAAATCTTTGTCCTCAGGTTTTGTGCCATCACCATCTAAAACGTGGCCCAAGGACAAAATCTTTGTCTTGGCCCATTCGCACTTCTTTGCATTTATCTTGAAATTTGCTTCGCGCAACTTTTCCAAGATCTGCCTCAGATGAGCCTCGTGCTCCTGGAGGGACTTGCCAAAAATCAAGATATCATCTAAGTAAACAACTACAAACCTATCTAACTATGGCCTAAACAAATCGTTCATGCAGCGCTGGAATGTGGCCGGTGCGTTGGTTAGTCCAAAGAGCATGACTATGAGCTAATAATGCCCATACCTAGTCCTGAACGCCGTTTTGTATTGGTCATCAGGGTGAACCTCTATCTGGTGGTGCCCTGACTTCAAATCTATCTTCGAAAAGTACTTGCAGCCCTGCACCCGATCCAACAGATCATCTATTCGAGGCAGTGGTTCTGCATTCTTTACTGTAACGACGTTGAGACCCCTATAGTCAATGCACATTCTGGGCTCTCCCTCTTTCTTGGGGACAAAGAGAACAAGTGCTCCAAATGGAGACGAACTGGCCTAATCCAACCTTTCTCGAGGAGCTCGTCTAACTGCTTGTGCAGCTCCTCTAACTCCTTAGGAGACATCTTATACACTGCTCCTTTGGGGGTCTTACTGCCAGGCTCTATCTCAATGTGATGTTGGATAGGACGCCGAACTATCCTGATGGAGCCTCTGACAAATATGCGTACTCTTCCAACAGCTTGGCAATAAGTGGGTTGGTAGGTTCCTCTTTCTTAGGCTCGGTGACTGGCCTAATATAGGCCTCAAGGACCTACTCTTCTAACTGCTCCTTTTTCACTAGTCGTGTGAACACGGGAGCACTGAGGCAGCAATGTGCCAGAGGGTTGTCTACTCCTGACACATGGAACAGTCGGGCCGTCTTGACGCCACCTGATGGACTAGGAAGCCTACACTCATGCTCTCTTAGATGCAGTGTGGCTCCTGCTGCCTCTCCCCAGTCCATTCCTAGGACCATGTCAAACGGGAGATTATCCGAGGAGAGTCAAGGAATGGAGAACTCTCTCTACCTTTCTATCTTTCTCTAGGCGAAAGTATGCCTCGACTCCCTCGATGTAATCCTCAATTTGCGTTGTGCAATTGTCTGCGAGGATACTGACTATGGGTTCATCTAGCTTCTGGACTTTCAAATTCAGCTTCAGCTTCTTTGGCCCCACTATCTATAAGGGCCCCTACCCTGCCTCCGAAGACTTCTACGTCTACCAACACTAGCTTCCCTTTCCCGTCTTTCTTCATCTTGGCCCAGGCTGGCATCCTCTCCTTCAACTCTTCTGCCCGTCCTGTGAGGGAAGCGCCTAGAGAGACTCTAACATAAGCAGTCTCTGGACAACTAACTAGGCGCTGGCCAGCAACCTCTGCCATAGACACATGTGGATTGGGAGTTTCTATTTGGCGCGCGCACACATCTTGACATGGTGTAGGGGTAAGGGCGGTTGCTACCCCTACTGACGGTTGCCTTTTGCTGACTCTGCATCAGCTCGTCGGGCATCCCTATATTTTGGGCAATATTTGATAATGTGCCCAAGGTCACCGCAATAAATGCATTGACTCGCATCTATCCTCCTCCGCCAGACTGTTTGTTCCATGCCCAACGATTCCCAGGGTCTGCCCTGACGCAAACAAGGGTGCCATTCACCCCTTTTGGGAGATGATCGATTAGCACGAGGACGGTTTTGCGGGGGACCTTGACCCCTTCCTCCCTCTTGGCGGTCTCCTCTGCCGCCAACCCCCTAGCCGCCCTGTCCTCGACCACCTGAGACCTGACCTCCTTGGCCCCGGCCTCTTCCTCTTCTTTGCGGCCTCCCTCTGGCCGCAACAGCAGCATAGGTCCTCGCCTGACCCTCGCCATTGTCCTCCTCATCGAGGCCCCACTCGATCTGGTTTGACCTGAAATGGTACGACCCTTCCACTTTTTGCCTTTGTCGAGGTCCTTGTGCCAGAAACTGGTAGCTGGCGTGGACTGGGCCTCGTAAGCAACAACCTCTCTAATAAGCGTATCATATGTCATGTTGGGCTGTTGATTTCTATCGAAGAAGTGCCCGTGCAGAGCTTCGGGCATGGCGCGGTAGAATAACTGGACCAGCTGGGGCTCAGTGACCCCATGGTCAGGGACAGCGACGAGTTCGTCCATGGCACCTTTGAGTGCTCTTGCACTCTTCCACAATCGTGAGTGGATTATTTGCAGTTTGTCAGAGGCCTTAAGGGCCCTAGTGACATCTGCAAATCATAGTTGCGGCGCACTAGTACGGTGCGCAGTGTGGCGCCGGGCGCTGTGCGCCATGCCCGAGAGAGTGGTGCACGAAAACCAGCGGTGTGTGTGTGTGTGTGTGTGTGTGTGTGTGTGTGTGCTTGTATGTGTGTGTGTGCGTGTGTGTGTGTGTGTGTGTGTGTGTGTGTGTGTGTGTGTGTGTGAGAGAGAGAGAGA